GCACGGAGGCAGAACCACTGCTCCCTCTCCCACGTCCACACCTGCATCCCAGATTTAAACCTTTTCCCACAAGATAAAAGAGCCCGGAGCGGCTTGGTGCAGCTGAGCTCCTGCCACCCCTACCCCACCCTCTGGGCAAGAGGACAGCATCGCTGCTCCTCCCTCCCTGCACACCAGGCCTGGAAGAGCAAGACGAAGAACTTTTTGATTTGTAGCCGCTGCTGTCAAATGGATCCTGCTATAATTTCCCTTTTCTTCTTCCCGGGAGGCCTGAGCAAAAGTGAGAACAGCTAGGAGGAACAGAGCCAGGCTAAGAGAGACAAAACTAATGCCCCCCACTAACGCAAGGACCAAAGTCACCTTAATTTCCACATCTGGAGAAAGAAAGTTCAAAAATTAAAAGAAATTTGAAAATGGGCCTAAAGCACAGCATAGTATTTCCATTTTTAGGAAGTCTAATTCTATATGGTTTGAGTCATTATTTGTGCACAGTTAGCCACGCTGTACTCTGCACAGTCTGTTTAGTATGTGATTTCACTACACAACTGACTCTCTTCAAATCTCACACCTCTTCTCCAGCTCAATATGAAGAAAGGAGGAAGGAAATTCAGCAGGAAGTTCACAGGAACTTCTGATACAAAATTAACTTGTGTGTAGTCTTTAACCACTGTTAACCGCTGATCTAGATGTAAGGAGCACATGAACTAGTCGAGTGTCATTCAAATCATCCGTACCAGAAACACAATTTTCATTTCTCATTCCAACATCTTACTAAATCCTGTCTGGTATTTCTGTGCATCCTTAATCGAAAAAGGGCATGGCTTTGGCTAGGGTTCACTCAAGCAATCACCATCATGGACTTTATAACTCGCGTTATGAAATTGCAGCGTTGCCACTGCCCTGCCCACTGGCTGCAGCCTTCTCCTGCTTCCCACTTCCCGCTCCCTCAGCTCAGGGGCAGGGGGACAGATCCCAGGGATGGGACTTTTGTACCACACTTTCAGTTTACAAAAAAAAAAAACCAACAAAAAAACCCACAATCCAACACACCCACATTGCCAAAGCTTTACTGGCAACGCTGTTAAAGGAAAGAGGACCTTGGCCAATCCCTGGGTACAGGCATAGGACTAACAGCCTACTTCTCACCCCTCGTGAACCGCAACAGGCATCCAAGAGCCTGTCCTTGTCCAAGTTCACCAGCACCCTCACCAGCAGCAGCATCGCTCCGTCTTCCCAGGCACCGCAAGGCAAAACCATCAAAGGTGAAGTTCTGCCTGAGGAACCCTCTACATGCAACCCGCCAAAAAGTGATCCAAACCCACTGCTTTTCAGGCAGGCATTAGTGGATCTTCAAAGCATGTTTACAACACCTTGACTTCCTTCAGGACATCCTCATTTAACTCAAGGGCTTTTTTCTATCTCAATTGGTTTCATAAGCAAGAGAAATCAAACAGTTCATTTATCCAGTGCCGGTTAATTGGCTGTGATGAAACACAAATTTTGTTTGACAACATTTGGCCATGAACGATAAACAGCCTTCAGACAGAACACACAGTATCTAGCACTTCATGCAGGGCACACCCAGCTGCGTGAAGCACAGACAACTCAAATGAATTTTTTTTTATTTAAAAAAAAAAGGAGGAAAAAAAAGCTGGCAATCCTGCTTGTAATAAGGAATGATATGTTTTCAGAAGGCATTTAAAAATACCAGAAACTGCCTTAACACTGCATCCAACTCCCTCCCAAAGACACCCGTTACCTATTTCAAGTATTTTTCTTACTTGTACCATGAATAGCAAGAAGTATCTAAGGAGTCAGCATGGCATGCTTCTCCCAACTCATGCGTCAAGTATGGCATAGCTACTAGTCCTGTCACTAAAATCAAGTACACAATCCCAAACACTACTCTGTCAGCTTTTAATACAAATGCATTGACATAAGAACTGTTAAAAGAGGAAGAAATTAAAAAATAACTGCCCTGCAACAACAAAATTAACACAAACCCACCAACACACAGAACAGGAACATGCTCTGGTGTCACCAAGAACTATTTAATACTTACTTACTATACTTACTACATAAAAGTGAATGTGTAATCTTAACTTCTAGCTTTCTATGTTACGGTAAAGAAAAAAAACACACAGAAAAAAATAAATCATTTCCTACTAAAATGATACAGCTTTGCACAACAAAGTACAAAGAGTATTTTAGAGGATAATCACAATGTTGCAAATATGGAAGTACTACAATCAAAGTCATCTTCATAGAGTTTTATAACACTGGAATTGGGAACAAAACTAAGAAAAAGAGTTTACAGAGAATTCAAATAATATTCATGTGTCAAGAAACAGGAAAAAACAACTTTTCAAAAGGACAAATATTCTGTTTTATTTCTCTCCCTCGCACCTTTTGACATAAAGGCTGCAGTCTTCCATCAGCTCTGGTTAATACCGCAGTGGTATTCTGTGCCAAGGGAGGGGTATTTAGCCTGGGGTGGGTCCAACTGCAAATGGTATCTACTCCACCAAAGAAAAGGTTGGTTATACCAGCAGTATTCTTAAATTATAACTCAGTTTAAATCAACTTGCTGTTAGGCACACTCACACAGTAAGACTGCATACGTGAGCATAAGAAAGCTTGAGCCATAATCTCATTTAGATATTTTGATGAGAATGAACTTTCACATAGCTCCGTCTCCAGAAGAGAGCTATCCCTCTTTCCAAGGTTTCATTAGAAGGTCTGAGCTATTGGTAATACAATGCAAATACAACTGCATTGGTAATACGATACAAACCAGTGATTCCATTAATATAAACACAAATGTCTCCTTTCTATAATATTAACACAAATGTTTCTACCCCACACCCTTCATGTCAGGGATTCCTTCTGCACATTTAACAGGGAGATCATAAAGTACTGTAAGAGCTGGATGTGAACACCTTTGTACATATTGTGAGGGTGGGAGACCTTTTAAAAAAAAAAAAAAAAAAGAAAAAAATTTGGACTAGGTCAGGTTAATGTTTCATGAGAACTACCAGGGAGGGCAGAGCTAGCAGTTTGCTGTAGGCACTTCTTCTTGCTCATCTCCAAAACACCGCAGAAATCCCCAAGAAAGCACGATGTGCCTGGACTTGCTGCTGCTTCTCAGACAAATAAGCACAAATCCTTCACCACCGTTAGTCGAGAAAAATTTCACAGTAATTTTTGTAAGAGCATGTTGTTAATTCCAGTGTCTCAGTTAAATGACATTGCAAGTAATTACATCCTGCTCTTTAGTTTTATGTGCCAGATTCCCCCTTCATCCCTCAAAACTGTATTGAGTTACCCAAGTATTAGCCAGCCAGCATCTTCTACTTGAGAAGCCACCACACTGCAATGATGGATGAAAGAATTATAGTGATCATTTGTAACTCAACACTAACTACTGGAAAAGGACTTGGGGATCCTTCAGAACTAAAGAGGGTCTGTAAGTATAACGTTTCATTAAACAAGTTCAGATGAGAAATGGGTATATTATATACATGAGATTCAGCACACAGAAGCAAGGACTGCATCTGGACTAATGTAAAAGTTAACACCCAGCAACTGGATTTTAGGAAATTCCTAACTTTAGCAGTTGCAATACAGCTCATTTAAAAGCCAGGTTTAAGTCCACTTCTAAAATATACTCCTAAAATAGCTTAAAATTTTTACATCCAGGAAGAATTTGCAAGACTGGTTTGATGTAATTTACTCAAGGGATCTTAAAAGATCCAAACCTACCCGTTCTTTAAAAAGTCGTATTTTTGTGCAAAAGTATTACACAGTAATGAAAATGTCTGGTTCCTCCCTTCCCCTGATTAACCTTACACAGAAACAAAGTTCCCAGCTCTTTTTCTTCACAGAGAGCAGAGCTGCTCACGGGACATCACCTTCAGTCCCTCCTTTTTGTCCTGTCTCTTCAGAAACAGCAGAGAAATAGGGAAGCCTAGGAAGTGACAGCACAACTCCCTGCTCTCTCCTCCTCTCTCGGGGGACGCACACAGCAGAGGAAGGTTCATCATTCCTCCATCGACTGTCCCTCCACCTGCCACAAAGGAACCGCACCGGCAGATGGCACAGACCCCACGGAGCAACGGCCCAACAGTGGTGTTACTGACTCTCAAAGAATATCTCTAAGATTGAATGCTGTGATACAGCAAAGCCATCACCTACTGAAATGGTCGTTTTCTGCACCTACCACAACGCCAAGTCAGGACTCCGAGTCAGGTAAGACAGAGGAGCCTCAACGTACTCTTGTTATCAATAACCGAGCCTGAGCCAGAAGTAAAGCTCATTTCTGCTGCTAAGCGAAGCAGAATTTCAGCTTTGCCTTCTCTGACGGATGCGCTCGACCCCCTTTAACCAAACCAGCAGTATTTTGGTACCAGCTCCACAGGAGGTAAAGGCCTGAGCCGTAGCCGGGCCAAGAACTCCTCTAGCAAACCCACCAAGGAGCAGAGCGGCACAGGGAAGGTGGTGGGTACGAGGGGCCTGGTGCGTACCTCTCCCACTGGAAGCAATTTGTCTACGAGCCAACCGCTTTATCCCGTAAATGTGATGGCCTGCTTGGAGCTCTCCTGGCTAGGCAGTGCGGCTGCATGGTGGCGATCTCCAGCAACGAGATCTTTTACCAACAACAGATGGTTGGATGAGCCCGATTTGAGTTCTCCCTGGACGGCAACTGGACTGCACGCCATGAAACTCTCCCCTTGAGCAGGGATGCCTCTCGACGTTAAGAGATATTAGTCGTTTAGCTCAAGTAAGTAAGTTTTAAATGGAACGAATCACTTAAAGTTGTAATATTCTGTGATTTAGGATGCTGTTTGCTTAGCTTTACTGACTCGCTGCGAGTAGCTCGATTTGCCGAAGCCTTAGGCCGCAAGCTGTAAACTTTCACTTAGATTTACTGAACGTGTACCCGCTTAGTCAAAACAGGGGCCTCCAGCGCCAGCGTAAATCGGGAGATAAGGAGGCTTCAAGGCCACCATCGTCAACAGCAGCTGCAACTCGACAAGATAACGAACGGCCTGTCTGGAGACGGTGCGGGAGTCCAATAAGGAGTCGGAGGATCCCAGGCCGGGATCACTATTGGACCAAAGGGCGCGTGGAAGGCTCGTGAAGAGCGCGTGAGGGGCGGGTGATTAGTCTGTAGAGGTTTAATTGCCCAGGGATTTCTTTGTTCGGGTTGGTCCCTCCTCGGAGACATCCAACTAGAGCCGACTCTGCTGCTGTACCGCTCTATTAAATTATTTATTTTTATGAGATTCGATGCCTGAAAGTCTGTTTCGGGAAACCCGAGGGCTCGAACTTCGGAGCGAACTAACACCAGATGCCTGGATGGAAGGTAAGTGATCAATCAGCATGCTAAACTTCGTAATCCTAAGCGATATAAAGGATTGATTGCGCACATATAATTTTTTAGACATAAACCGCTGATCAAATTCTTTGAAACACTCATCTGCGACACCTTCCCAAGTTTTTTGCATTTCTATTTGCTTCATCTTGCAATACCAAAACTACTTTCAGTGATATGGGCTTTCTTAACCAAGGCAATGACATTCTTTTTAACATCATCTGAAGCTCAAGTCCTGACATCCCACAGTTCAGAAAATAAGAAAACCAAAAGTACTACAGAGCAGACTGAACTCAGCAGAGCTTTGCCATCCACCGGGAACACAATTTTGTTTCTCATGCAAATCTCAACTCGACAAACTTCAGCCCAATTCAATCTCGCACTCAATGACATTCTCCTCATCCTTTAAATTCTCCATCGCTGGTAGATTCTATAATTTGCACAGTGCAAAGATGGAGCATCATGAACACAAAATTTTTTACATGCAATCTTTTCATGTCCACACAGGCTAACCAAAACATATTCTAATACTGTTTCCCAACAATATTCTGCAGTTTAATTGGGCAGAAACTTAATAACCAAATTCCTGTGCCTACATGTTCTTCTGTTTCAACTTTGAAGCCAAGACAATTGGTGTTTAAATTTTATTAAGCAATAGTTATTCAGACATCCAACATTAATCTGGCTATTATAGTTCTGACTTCCTCACATTAATTTACTTTCATAAAAGATATCATTACATTTGAGTGTTATGAACTCTACGGCAGTAGAATTAAGAAAGGATTCACATCACAGAAATTCTCTGATAAATATGCTCTGTATAAGATTTGAAACAGTAGACAACTGTTTAATGAGGTGCCATCTAAACTAAGAGTGAAAAGGCATAAGGGAAAAATCACATTCATTTCAAGGTTCACATACTTCTCCCATCTTAACAGAACTACAGAAAAAGCAAGGAGAGAAAAAGTTTATGACATACACTACCCAGGTTTAACTGCCATTTCCTCCAGCCTTATTGAAAGATCATCTGCTTGCACTGTCTCACAAGACATTTATCTTGGAATTCCTATTGTAACCAAGGTTCACACATTCTACTGCATAACATACTAAAATGAACATCAAGGTCTGAGATAATAAATTCTGGCACTGTATAAACCACTTAGGTCTTCTGTAACTGCTCACAGTAGTAAGGCCTCTTCCACATGACAGTGCTGTATAAATACTGATAGCATCTCTGCCTCTTCCCCTTGCTCTTTCAAGCACAGCTTATTTGCTAAACACACCTTTTATTCAATGCATCTTCACAACACAAGCAGCAGTAATAGAATATTTTGGAGCTATTAATACATTATGCACCCAGGTCTACTTGGTACTTAAAGCAAAAGGTAATTTTTAAAATTTGAGAGCACAGTACGGGTGTGGTTCCTAGTCCCTGGTCCAGGGCAGACGCCCAAAGCAGTTCCCACCCCGTGTCGTGCTCCTGCCCGCACCACTCTCCTCGTTGTGCTGACACAGCCATTTATTGGAGCTGGTTAAGCTGAATTAGGGAAATCTGTGCAGGTTCAAAATAGGTATTTTGGGAGCAGGGTTATTTTTGAACACAGTTAAGTTCAAACGCTCCATGGTCCCCAAAAGAGTCATATCAGCATTAGAGAGCAGGAATAAGCAACCTGTTTAAAACAAAACAACAACAACAAAATCTAACAAACCCCCCCCCCCCCCAAATCCACCAAAGTCTCATTAAATTACTGCCTATGTTTTTTGCATCACAGCGTCATAGGTGGACTTTGTCTGCAACAGCTGATGAGCAGCGTGGTTATGACTGATGAAACAAGACCAAGAGGATGCTGGAGAGCAGGTGAGCAGAGTAGCCGGTGTTAAGAAACTTCACCATTTTATAATTTAACTCTCTTCAGAAACATGGGAAAACTCTCGAGGTATGCTACAGAACGACTGAGTAGCATAACAAAGCGAATGTTTCCACACTGTTACCAGAACAACCTAAGGGGGTGGAGGGGAAGCATCAAAAAGCCAACCGAGTTCATGCATGTCAGCATGGAAGTATCTTTTCAAAAGTGACAGCTTGAACTCACATAGAACCAACAGTCCCCATTAGCAGTTACGGTATTTCCAGGATTGCTTTGCATTTTGAGAACTGGAAGGGTTCATAGACTTCTTAAAATCCACAATTTTGCACACCAGAAAAGAGAGAATAAGAACTTTAACTCCAATTCCCAGTTTTCAACCCTAACTTGTATGCAAAATGTTCATCAAATTCATTACCATTTGCCACCTGTCTAAAAACTGCTATCAATACATGAATGACATTACAGCTCTGAGACCTGGGATACTTTCTGATAACTTAAAACCTCCTTTTTCAATTTAAGTACACTAAGATGATGAGAGTGCATATTAGTTAAACTTTGGAAAACCCACTAGAGAAGAGGAGTATTTAAGATTTGCAGACAAAGCAAAAAAAAATTTCAAGCGAGAGGAAGGGACCAGAACTATCTACAGAGGTAAGCTGAAATTCAGCAGGAAAGCCACAGCTTTGATGTGCAGTGCTTCCAAACAAACACTAGTTAAAAAAGTTGGGAAGTTTTAACCTTTCATCCTACTTATTAAATGCCACCTGTATTTTATAATCCCCATAAGCAGACTGAGAAAAACATTAAAATTTCAGCAGCCACTGAGTACCAAGACATTTAGTATAGTATCAACTGCTTCAGGAAACAGTTGATAAACATTAATTTAGCTATACGAACCCTTTTAATAAAGTGACGTTACCTTTTTTCCCCTAATGACGTTAAGTTGGGGGTTTTTTTCCCCTCAAAGTTCTTACAGCTTTTTCTCACTTTTCTGGATGTGGCCTTAAAACAAAAGTCATGCTGTTCACAGGTCTATCAGATTTAAGCATCAAAAAGAGACATCCCGGAGAGAACTTGCGCTGCTCCCTGTTCCCAGGGTCCCTGTGTCCCAGGCAGGACAGCCGGGAATCAAACGGTGCCTTCGCGGTCGTCCCCGCAGAGCACCAGCACCACTCGCGTGCAACCCGCTCCCATCCGAGGGCTGCGCAGTTGCACCAGAGATATGATAATTATGAATAATACTCATTACGAAGTATCTTCCGCGGAAGATACGTAAACAGTTTTTGGTCAACCCAGACCAAAAACTTAACTTCTGCATTTGATAAACTAGTAAAGGCGTTGTGCAAGCTGGTTTTGAACTGCTGTTCCTAACGTATTTTTAACTGTAAACTAAAAGACTTGACAGACATGAAAGTGCAAAACATAGAATCATTACATATATAATTTAAAGTCAGCAAGACTCGGTGAACCTTGCCACTAGAGAAGGGAGTTAAGCTTTCTGTCATATGAATTTAAAGAAAAACACCAGCAACCTTGCAAAAGTCTTGTCAAAATTCAGTTGAATTTCAAAACACTTAATGCAATAGACCAGTTCAGTTTATACAGACACTTCCAGGGCATCAGTTTGTTACAAAGCTTAAATCTGATAATGTCTCTGTTAACAGATAAAACTGCTTTCAAGTGCTACAGGAATTACATGGCAAGAAATGCTTCTCAATGCTAAAGCTTCCAGGGATGTAGTGGACAAACTAGCTTCAATTAAGCAGTTTTGTTGCCTTTCTTAGGCACCTGGCACGGATGGCAACTCCTTGTTTTTGGTTGAACTAACTGAATTCTACTAAGGACAAGCTAAGATTAATTTTTTTAAGGTATGATTCACTATTTACTTACACATAATAATTAAAAAAATACTAAGTTGTATAATGGATTAAAATAAATTCTATAAATACAAAGTACACTCCCGCTAGCAAGAAATCACCCCATTATACCAGCCAATGAGATCCAAATTTTGTATTCCTCTTCAATAGAAACAAAGATTAAACCACACCCATTTTTTACCATCTTTAGTTTTTGAGCCTGTCAGTAAATCATGACTGAACGTACTTTAACATTCCTCTGACTAAATACATGCTGGCGTGTGCCGTGAAGAGCAAGCAGGAGTGCCACGCTGGTGCTCCCCTCTCCCTGCCCATGCCCCCACCCCCACGCACACTGCACTGCTCCTCTGCATCAGCAGAGCGAACGGCAATTGGACTTACCCCCCAAAAACCCCCAAACAAACAAACAAAAAATCAACACAAGCTCTTCGGGCCAATTAGGTGCATGAAGAGGGCACTGTGAAAACATCTTTAAATGTCAATTCAGCATGGATCATGCTTCATGTGGCCATAAAAAAAATGTAATTTTTTTCTTAAAAAAGAGAAAACTGGAGAAAAAAACCAGAGGCAAAAAAAAGTCGGTTTTTAGGAGTTTATTAGTGATTAACAAATTTAAGCTGAAGACTACTTGTTAAAACTCTCTCCTAGTAAAACATATTTCTGGTAATTATTGGCTAAGAATGTGTCACAGTACAAACATTTTTTTTCCTCGTTAAATATAATTGGTGCAGGTATTTCAGCAGAAGTAATCATTGCTCCAGGAAAAAAACCTTTTCACCCTTTATCTTTTAAAGGCTATCTACACCATAGTTTTCACCGTGTCAGATCGGTTTAACATGATGCTAATTTATTCTATCAGCATCACGAGGACAAAATTAAATAGTTCCCAAACTTCACCAGTCAATTTAAAACAATATATCAAGCAGGTACAGTGGCCATACTGCCTTCCACCTACAGCCAGCGTGAATTGCAGTAGCTACATACCAGCACAGGTCACTGACGTACAAACCACACTCAAACTGGAAGGTTTAATGGTAAATCCCAAACAAACAAACAGAAAAGCCTACCACCAGCAGCCCCCTACCCACCCAAATATACAAAAACCTACTTCAAACACACAAAATTATCAGTAAGCTCTTTTCCATACAGGACCACCCAGCACATCAAAAAAAGTCATGATATAGGAGAAATAACAGTCCATTTTACCTCACCTTGGCCCATCGTTACACTTCACGGCACTTGCAGTTAAAAGAACAAAATAGTATTAAGAAATTATTGTAAAATCAAGCACTTTTCAATCACAGCAATTTCCATTATGTTACTAGTCTTATTTAAGCAAAAATACAGTACAACTCACTAAATTAAATTTACAATGTGTTCCTCCATTAAGTCCTTTAACCCGTTTCTCTATATTCAGTTTTTCTGAAATCTTCATCTTAATGGCTCAATTTTTCAGATTTGGACTTTCACCAAGCAATTTTTAAATTATCTTTAAATAAGGAAATGCTTATGCTAATAGTAATGAAACGTTAGAAAATGAAATTGGCAGATTTCTGATTTTTTTTTTCCAGAAATACTGGTTACTCCTCTGCCCACAAAATACGTAACATCACACAAAAACTAAATTCCCATTTTGATGTGGCTTTTTTGGTTTGCTTTTACCCTCCCCTATAGGAAAATACTCCATTAGTTGCTCTGCAGCCAAACTATACAAAGAGAATTGTGGACTCTTATCTCCTCATCCTACTCACTTTAATGATTTGTGCACATCAAAGCCTGATTAAAACCATTTAAGCACTTCCATCACTGAAATCTCTTTAACGTCTTTTGGAAATTAAATTAAATGCAGAAACAAAAAAAAAATACATGCGAATGCACAAAGGTGTACAATTATCATCAGCTAAATTGAGCTTTTATAGTAACGTTAGCATAGATGGTGACATACACTTTTAGTATTTTGAAGCATAATTTATATAACAATATTGCAGACAACCAATATAAATATTAAATATTCATTTAAAAACAGACACTTGCAACAGGACCACACTAAGGAAAGTGCGTTTACGTTTCTGACTGCTCTACACAGCCCTAAAGCGCAAGAGGGGAAAACGCACTGAATGTAACTGCCTGCTAGGGTAAATAAAGCTATCACAGCTTGTTTCCAGATTTTCTGATGCTGGAGGACCAGTTACACTAACATTGCCTTATATGGCTTCAGGGTGGTTGCACATTTATCTATGAGTGCGTGTCTATCTATGGGTAGATGCCTACTACCTCAGTATCTACACGCTATACGCAGCCAGAAGAGCAACAAAGCACCTGCTCTGTTCTCCTCATATTTATTTGGTTTCTGTATTTGAAACACACTTCCATTTCTCCCATCGCTGCCTGATCGCAGATCACCATTCAACTCTTGAAGTAAAGATTCACATGTACCTGGTACACTTCAGTGAGAAAGTAGGAAAGAGAGACTGTGCAGTGGTGTGAAATTTCAGCAGGAAGCAAAACTGTTGAGGAAAGTATCTAATATGGAGTAATTTACCCTGACGAAATCTTAGGATCTGAGCTAAGGACAAGTTTAAACAATTTTTCCTGTCTGAAGAGTCCTTTTTAACTGGTCACTGGTTAGAAACATTATTTTCCCAATGTTTGGTTCTAAAAATTAAACATACTAATATTCTTTCCTTAAAATTGGAAAATATATGTAAATAAAATGATGTCTGATGCAACTATAGTGAGACACCAAGCGCTCAGCTCTGTTTCCAGGAGATTACAAAGTTACAGCATATCAAAACCTAGGTGCCTTCTCATTTTAAAACTGTATACAGTAAAAGTTACAGAATTTTAAAAGCACTAAGTTTAGGGATCCACTTTGGTTCAACACATTCTCAGACCCTTTTCCCAAGCCCAGCAGTCACCCCTGAGAGCTTCAGGAGGGGCACACACATTTCCAGGGTTTGCTTCTCCCCCTCCACAAATAAGCCACTAAACTTAAAAACTAAGGGAAGTTTCAAGTCCAGTCCAAAAGACAAGGATCTTAACGCTAATCTTAGAAACTGCAGATAATGGGGGAAGAAACATCAATCCTTTGCAGGAAAATAATCACAGTGCTAACATTGAAGAGAACCACACCATTATTCTGGCCTGTTGTCTACTACATCTAGTCTTCACACCCCCAATGTAGCAATGGGAATATATAACAAGAAACTGCCGTGAGGCTGCAGAGGAGTACATCTATCCACAGGGAGAGATTTGGAATGATAAAACAGTCTCTCCTGAAAAATGTGATCACTACAGGATTACAGTATTACTAAAAGTACACTCTATATTTGTTTAATTATAAAACATGGAAAGCAACACACTCAAGTAAATTATCAATAAATGTTATGACATGAATAAAAACTAAGATGAACGTAAAAAAAGAGAGATCAATAAAAGGGGGCTATGAGCTGTCCAGTGACGTATTCTTGGGACTGGGTACCATAGCTCAATAGAAAGAAGTGCAGGAAAACTTCTCTTAATGAGCTGTTAACAGAAGAAAATTAGTTCAAGACTTCAGGGAAAGAACTTCTCTTATTCAATGTTTGTACAGTACCGAGCACAAGGAGATTTTTTTTTTTCTTTTTTTCCTGTTGGTACTTGGTGCTACTGCCAGTTAATAAACCGGGTTTTAATTCATCAGTGAGAATTAACGAATCAAGAAAGAACAAGAGACAGAGACATGACAACTTGAAGAACTACAAGCTAATGCACTTGGGGAGAAAATAAGTTCACTACGTTACGGAGAAGACAGATTTGACACACAAAGTTGGAGAAAAAAACTTGGAAGGTAGTAAGAATTACAGAGCCTGGGGAGATGGCAGACACCAAATTAGACACGAGCGCATGAGGCAAACAATATCACAGCTACAGGGAAAATGGAATTTTGGACGGCACGTACGAAGCTGGCACAGAACCAGACAAGGAAGCAAGCCGTGCTACGCTGCAGCTATGTGCTGTGCTAGGCACCTTTACAAAAGTCATAGGCAACATCAGATTTTCATTTCAGAGGGTACCAATACAATTATTCGAAATGGGAAATCTCAATTCAACAGGAATATGTACATCTAGTTCAAGTATCCAAAAGGAGAATAAAACCAGATTCCCACAGGAGAAAAATATACAGCAAGAGAACAGTACTACTTCAAAAATTCAGGCTGACTAAACTTACGAGAAAAGCTTTATGACAGGAAGGAGCATGAGCCTGTGCAGTTTTATTTCCTAAGCAGTGACAGAACCCCTATCATTTCACAAGCTGGAAAGCATCTTGTTAGTCATTAGTAACTGCAGAGAAGGAAAAATCCTGCAAGAGAAAAATAATTGCCAGGCAAGTTTTACAGTTCTATGAACCCGATTTCTTATTTTCTTATTTTAAAACTGCTAGCAATATATTTTACATACATCTAAGTCTCCTCTATCCAAATGTAATCTGTTAAAGTTTCCTGACTCATTTCCAGACAGTCCCTCTTCATCCTATGGCCCCTCCATCTCCCCACAATTTGAGGCGTTCTTTTCTCACTGCTTAGTGAAGATGACATCACCGTCCCTTCTTTCTTGATACAAACTCCAAGACAGACATTAAAATTGAATGACAAGGAAGGCAGGTGAACTCGAGTTCAGTTATTTCTTAGCCTCTGTTGAAGGTAACTGTGAGACTATAGTAATGAGAGAAAGGAAATATGCCTGTAGAACAAACCACATGTGAGTAACAATCTGAAATTATGCAGCCGAGAACAATTACTGCGGCAGAAAAGAAACCTCAGAGTCACTAAAATCTCAAGACTATTCTTACATCCTCTGACAGGTAGACCCCAAATACGACACTGTGCGACTAACTTTCCTCCCAGCTCTATGTACGCATTGCTGCTGGTAGAGGCGGCCTCTTGAAGGATGCTCATACTCTTTCCATATGCGCAGCAAAGGCAAAATCTGCCTATAGGACCGGTGCTCATTTCATATCTCAACTCTCAAGATTCAGCCTCAGACACAGCTATCAGTGGTTAATATTTCTACCCTCAACATCGTAGATTTCTGTTGATCTAGAGCGAAGAGTAAGAGTAGTAACAATTAAAAAAACTCAGAAAGCAAGAGGATGAGCAGGAAGGAAAGGAAGAGAGGCATCAGAAGCAAATATGAGCTGTTATGGCAACTCTCACAAGCACTGAAAATACAGGTGGGGGGACAGCAGTTTCACCACTTGGTCAGAGTGCTTCAAAACATGCTGTGAACTGCTCTGTCAGTCAGTAACGCACAAGTCCTGTATGTCTTTAGTCACATCCGACATCCAGGAGCAACCACAGTGGAAAAAAGTGCAGCAGAACATCCTTGCCAGCAGCTGTGAGCTAGAAAAGAAAGAAGGAACTAATGTGTATGTGCCAACTTATTATCTACTAACTGTAAAGTCAGGGCAGGTTTCTGCTGCAACTATTTACCTACAAAACCTGAACAACGCAAAGTATATGGCATTTACAGATAAAAATATGTGGCATCTTCTTGTTAAATAGTTGGGTCATAATCACGCAAAGCATTTGTATATTCCGGCTTATTAAAAAGACAACCTAGAAATCCAAGTAATATTTCACTGAAGTTTCATCATGCTTTATCATGTTCAGATCATTATAACTGGGAAGAATGCAAAACACACAAATATGAACTACTTTTTTTTTTTTTTGGTTGCTGTGTGCCTTCTTGCACAAAACCTAGCCTCTTGCACAGGGGCTCAGTCTCGTTCTCTCAGTGTTTGAGACATAGGAGAAAAGTCATAAAATGAGAAGTGCAGAGATGTTTAAAGAAAATATTAAGGACCAGAAATCGTTTTTGAGACTAGAGTTGAAGTTTACTGTTTTCTTTCATGATTGTTAAAACTGTTCAACAGGGGAGAGCTTGCTCTGGCTCAAAGCTGCAAATACATCGTGCAGCAGTTAGGAAGTCATAAAAATCAATATTCATACATTAATAAAGCCAAGATATTAATAACAACAAAGGGTAAAATTTTTTTTCTTGTTATTGACCAACAAGAACTGCACGATTACCATTACGAGCCATCGTCAAACTCCAGTATAACACCTATATACAGTACCTATGTGACTAAGGCTGTCTATGTCACACCTTGCTGAGGCAGACGACACAACAGTAGCGCTGTGAGTTTAATAATGTTTCTCTCATTACAGGAGATAACGAAATGACAAATCGTGCCTACAACCACTCCTCCAAAGCGCTTGACTAGACCCTATTTCGCAATAACGCCCCTGGGCTGCAAAGCGCTCCATTCCAGTGACTTCAGAGGAGTATTCAGAAGTTTTAAAGAAATGTAAGGAACGAGAAATACACCCATGAGGAGAAGTTCAGTAACTAGAAGGGAGCTGGCAAGAAGGTGACAAATAAAAGCACAGACTTGGGCAGAACAAGTTAATTTCAAACACTACTGATGCTGAGTAAGTGCCTTGTTCAGCTCACACAGAGGCAAGTGGGAGGTCTGACTGACATCAGTGGAAACATGTGAACATTTAAAACCGTCAAGAGTCTTCGTAAGTAAATGTTCAAACAAGACCGTAATAAGCCGAGGAAACGGGCTTGTGAAATAGAGGGGCCCACACCTGCAAAGCACAGCTCTCTCTTCATTTAGAACATCATCTTTTTGGGCTGTATTTGAGATACGGGCGTAAGCACTCTCAGTTTTCCCCCAAACCAAAGTTAACCACTTTCCCATTTCAAGAAGTGAATGAAAGACACAGCAACTGAAAGCATTAATATCTGTATTACAGGTCTCGACGCTCTCTTGCTTCGTTTTGTTCATCGGGAAAAAAAAAGAAAAAAAAAAAGAAAGAAAAAAAGCACTTCTCAGCCCAAGCTCAAGAAACGTTAAGCGATCGCCCTTCTGATTACGAAGTACAACGCAACCCTCATCAGGGATGATGCTTTTACGTAACAACCACCTAGTCGCTCACGAGGAGGATGCGACTGCGTGTCAGTAACCCCGAGACTCTCCCTTCTCCCGACCTTCCGCAGCACCTACCCGAAGCCATTTCCTACGACCACCGCAGCACCCAGCAGCACCCAGCCCTGCCAGCTCCATCCCCGGAGCGGCTCAGGGCCTCAAACGCACAGAGCAAAGGGGAAGGAACAAAGCCCTGACGTCAATTACTGGAAAAGGATTAAACCCATCAGCTAAGAGAGGGGAACGCATCGGCCCCATTAGCACCGGGAACCGTCCCGGACGCCTCTTCCCCACGGGGGTCACCCCGGTTTTGCTCTCCGGGGTGAGGGACGCGGCGGGGGAGCGGTGCCCGGCCCAGACACCCACCGCCGCTCCCGCCGGGTGGGTAACTCCTCTCGGTGTGTCACTCGCCCGTGTCCGTGTGCGGGGAAACACGGCGGTCTCGCGGTTTTGAAACGGGGAGAGATGCGCCGTGGAACGGGGCCATCCCAACCGTCCGGGACCACAG